TATTTCAGGTCGCAGCACTGAGATCACACTCCATTGCTGAGGGAAGTCAGGACAAGAACTCGGAAGCCATGGAGAAGTGCTGGTTACTGACTTTCTCCTCTTGGATTGCTTAGTTTGCTTTCTTATAGTGTCCAGGACCACCCGGCTCGGGATGACACTACCCACAGTGAGCTGGGCCCTCCAACATCCATCGTTTGGCCGAGAAAATGCACCAGAGGCTTGCCCACAGGCCAACCTATCAGGGACAGCTCCTTAACTGAGATTCCCTCTTCTAAAGGGGCTCTAACCTGTGTCAGGCTGACAAAACCAGCCAGCTCAACAGCACTCACCCTTGTCTTGCTCTCTCTGTTGTCCTAAGTTTCTATTCAACACATGCCTAAGAATGTAGAAGCAAAGCCCACTGGTGGCACACACTTTTAATCCCAGCACTTTGGAGGTAGAAGCAGAAGGACCTCTGTGAGCTCGAGGCCAGCCTGGTCTATAAAACGAGTTTCAGGACAGCCAGCACTGTTAACACAGAGGAAGCCTATCTCAAAAGAAAAAAAAAAATCAAAACAAAACAAAAGAATGTAGAAGCAAAAGCACAACAAACTGAACAAGGTTTGAAGTATCTAGGGTACAGAGGGTTTACAGGGCATCCTGCTGGTTACTTTAACTCACTGTTAAAAGTGTGACTCACTGTAACGGGTTCAGCTCATCTTCACCTGTGGAAAACGTCTCTTTGAAATAATACATCACTTTATTATTTAAATAAACAACAACAAATTTAAATGTGTCGAAAGGAATGGTCAGTGGTATTTTACCACATCTTAAACATATAGAAACTCCTGAAGTCTTACGGGTTGCTCCAGAGCCCCCTAGGCTCCATCCAGGTCGTTGAGATCGCAGGTCTTTGTTTAGTTGGGGCCAGGGACTTAAGAATGCCACAGTCCTGGCCAGAAAAATGGTTCCCTGCACGTCACAGGAATCAAGCCTGATTACCTTTACACACGCACAACCGCCCCTTACAGTTTTGCCGCCTCCAGAAGGTGGACTGCCTCGGGATTTGGGGTGGGGAGCAGCGAGCCGCAGCCGCCGCTGACGGTCACCAGAGTTCTCGCAGGGCTCTCCCATGAAGCCTCCCGGTTCGACGGCTGTACCCACCAGTGCGCCTCCCGACTTCGCCTTCTCTGGAAAGTCCACTCTGGCTTCCGCCCCAAGGTGGCCGTTGTCCCGGTCAGGACAGCCGGGAAAGTGGCGAGGGCGGGTGCCGCCCGGCGCCCGGAAGGAGGCGGTCCAGCCAGCCGCACCTGTCGCTTCAGGCAAAGCCTCCCGCCGTCCCCAGCCGGCTCGCCCACGAGCTGGGGCTTCAGCCTGGACGCGGGGTTAAAGCCCCTCACCCCACGGGTGCAGCGTCCCATCGCGGACCCACTCACCTGGCCGGAAGAATGGCCTCCCTGCGCCTCCCACCGCGGGCACCGAAACTGGGATCGGGATCCTAAGGCGTGGTTGAGCCACAGCGCCCCGCCCACTCGCCCGCCCGTCCAGATCCCTCCTGCCGGCCTCACCCGAGCAGGTTCCCTACCCAGCCTGCCTGCCTGCGGGCCAGCCCAGATCCTGCCAGGAAACTAGTACAGTGTAAGGCGCTACCTGCCCCGTCCATCTTTAGAACATTTGTTCTACTTTCGCCTGGACCGAAGGAGACAATGCGTGGTAGGCAATGTTAAAACATAAGAAAAACACGATGAAAGCCAATATTTTAATTTTTATATAAATTATGTAAATATTTTCCAGAAGTATCTAAAATATTCCACTGTACAACATACCAAACGGTATCTGTGAAGCTACATGCAAACTGTAAATAAGGCACAAAGTTTATTTATACTCATAAATTGTTTTACAAATCAATTTACAACACCCCATAAAGTCTATATTCTGGATTACTCCTTCACATTTTCTGATATTTAAGCAGGACACTGAAAACCACACTTCACACTGTGACCGCTCCTCCCTAAAGCTTTCACAAGACTAAATAAATACTAAAGACTTGGTACTTGAGCCCTGCTTTACTTCAGGATGACTCAAGTCACCGGCTGGGAAGGAACTCTGTGACAACTGAGCAATCAGCAAACGGCTTGCCACGCACCAGAAGTGTGTTAATGCTGTTCAAGTACCAGTTTCTGTAGTCCTGAGCACTTTGACTGACAGGTGTTTTCTAAGTCCCATCACTGTCATAGTCCTCTATTATGATGTCCTCCTCCTCCTCCTCCTCTTCCTCCATGTCCACTCTGGAGGAGAAGGGCTGCGGCTGGCTAGCAGGCAGGTCACTCCCGCTGTTCTGACTCAGGGGGAGAGACCAGGGCTCTGGGTCAGCAGTCTGCGAGGCTTCACCCTGAGCGTCCTGTGCAGGCCGCCCTCCAGTACGGGGGAACTCATCCTCGCTGTCGGGCTCTATGAGCTCTCGCTCGGTCAGGGCTTCCATTTTCAACCTGTGGGATTCACAGGGCAGACGTCAGTAGTTACCAAACAGGAGATTCCTTTCAATTGTAACCTAAGAGGTCTTTCCACTTACACAAAATGCAAGGTGAATGAGAAACTGTGAATAAACCCTACTGCCTACAAGAGGGTCAATGTCTCCAGCAAAGTTCCTATGCACTAATGTTTATATATACATTAAAAATGAGCAGAAAACAGAAATCTCAGGAAACATGAATAGGACTACATTTTATATTATTTAATTTATAATTTTAAAAATAGAGCCAGGCGATGGTGGCACACACCTTTAATCCCAGCACTTGGGAGGCAGAGGCAGGCGGATCTCTGTGAGTTCGAGACCAGCCTGGTCTACAGAGCTAGTTCCAGGACAGGCTCCAAAGCCACAGAGAAACCCTGTCTCGAAAAACCA